CAATCAAGATGTACACTCAGTTTACCAGTCTACTCTCCTTTTTCACATTTGTTAGTTTTGCTTCATCAAAGTAAAAGCATTGTCTAGACAACCGCTACATCACATGTTGAGTAACTTTAAACCAACAACATTAAAAATAATGTGACTATAAAACAGATATACTAATTACGCATGTTTTCAAGTATCAATATTTATTTGTACATCACCATGTGTCCTACACTGCACGGTCAAGGTACTTTACATGTGACCAGTAATTAATAACTTGTGATTGGCAGAAATGATCTTTATCTAAATCAATAGGTGAGTGAAGTGCCTAATTGATGCAAAACGTTGTTCAGTCAGTAAATATTAATATGGAACCTGGTAATACTGCGTAATGAGTCTAAGTTCCCACACGACATATGTTAGTACATCAAGAGAGAATGGACTGAGATGCAAGAAAGAGAGAGAAATAAGGAAGACAGTAGTCAAATTGCTAGAAAGTCATCAAAAGAGAACAAGAAAAAGATGAAGCAGTTTACACAGTTCACTTGGTTTGCTTTCATAATAACAGTGACGGATGGTTGATACTGATCTGAGCATGTTTACATGATTAAACGTATGAAAGGAATTTATGGTTAGTCAACTCCATATAATTGATGATACAATTCAAGTAGGAATTATAGCTTAAATTTGTTACCGAAAAAATCTACGGTATTTTAACGAAAACCAGAGAGCGTATTAGGTAGAACGTTGAAAAAATAGAGAATATTTGTGGTTCAGATGGATGGACTTCTTTGTATTGAACTAAAACATATAAAAAGAGCCAAACTTCTTTTATGAGGGCTAACGATACTTACTACCCGGCTGTCTAGACCTAGGTGTGTGGAGAGAGGTTGGAATCCGTGATTCAGCGGTTGATAATCATACGACTAGACCGATGAATCATAGTTACACGAGTTATATACGTTTGTGTGTCAATTATCCTAATGCTATCCTAATGCTGAGAAATCTCGTAAGTCGACCATACATAACACTTACTTATGGAAAGTGACCAAAGATATATGGGTAAGATGAAAATGTATGAATTCGAACCAACCGATGATTCCATTACGAGACAACAGGTTAAATCACGGTACCAACACTCTCTAACATTGATAATCGAGTTGATGCCGTTTGTTTGCTAGTGATAATAAAATCTTACTGTATTAGAATTTAGGCCTAGGTAACAAAATAAGATGCACCATTTTTTGCGTAACCATCCCAGTAAACATGGACCTATGATTGTGTTTTATTGAAACCCTCATGAAACTAATTCTTGGTTATTGAGTCAATTACTAACCCCTATAATCTATTAGGAACGCATCTTTTAATATCACTAAACAATACAGATAAAAATCCTGAAAGTGTTATAAGCATCTGTTTTCGGTGCAAAATAAACTGCAGGAACTACGAAAAACACTACAGCGGACGGAGTGACCACCCTCTTCATATGCATCTACATGACCGTCAACTAGCAGTTAAGCATCATGGCATAACTTCGTTAATATCAAAGCATACAGACATTTGTAGGCATCGATTTGACTGGGAAAATAAGAAAATCCTGGATAGAGGAAATACAGAGAATCTCAAAGAAGCTCGGTATCCAGGTTAGTCAGCGATCAACAGATATAGTGACACTGATCCAATCTATCAACCAATAAGAAACAACAAGAAGGTCAAATTTTAGGTCATCAAGACAACCAATGAAAATAGACATGGAGAAAACCCTATAGCTCACTTCTTTCTGAAGTTTTTGCTGATGATATTGTCTAGAATGATGACCACTGAACAGTCTAGCTCGGAGAACTCAATCCCATCAAAACATTTCGAACAATCTGACCACATACGTATCTGTCGTTTATAGGAAAATTAAAGAGTCAGAGGGATTGGAAAATAGTTATCGGTCAGAGGAGGAGATTGCATTGAAGGTCAACATAACAATGAAGATCAATAAAGCACCAGTAATAAAAGTTAATAGTACAATAACCTTTGTTTTAAAGCTGAACTTACTAAGGAAGGTCTAATGTGATGAAAAATTGGTTTTTAGCACATAAAGGTGGCTTGAATTACCTAGTGGCTAAAGCCTCAACAAACTATAATATATGTCCCTAACGGGCCTAATACAGGGGCTTAAATGAAGTTTGTGCATCTATTTAATGCCCCGTTTTGATATCATATTTTTAGCTATTCAGGAACGATGAATGTTAGTTTCCTGCATGAATTAGGTCAGGGGAATCTATGGAAGCCGATTCTCGCCCCTACCGAATTTCAAACAAACTGCTTTACGGACACCTAACTAGATTTAGTGTTTTACCGCAGGTACTCAATACTTAAAATAGCTGAAACCTTCATTCTTTAAAATCATAATACATATGGAAGGTTGGTGGACGAATTCCTGAGTATTGACTGCTATAAAACAAGCAATCCATACTGTGATGGTAGCGTAGAAGCGAGGTCGCGATACTTTCATTTGAACAGCGATTTAATGGCAGTAAGTTATTCCTTTCAGGTGGTCTGAAATTTCAGCTAACTTGTGGTTTTTATAGATAGTGTTAAAATCCAGTCCACAAAGATGAACATTCCACTTCTCTCTGGAGACAGACAGACAGGGATAGAATCAAAGTGGAACCCTGTACACAAGTGTATCGGCTCAAGTTGTCACTTTGGACAGTAGTATACAAAAAACAGGTGGATAGAAAAAGAGTTATATCAAAGTAGACAAAGTTGTATGTGAGAATAAAAAGTCTGAAGATAACGGTTAGGGAGAATGTTCGAGCTTTAGGAGACATTAAGACGTGAATATATCTGCGCCATCGATTTGCCTATTACCCTCCGGTTTTACTTTCACCTCGCCACTTACCGTTTTTGTGAATAAGGTTCATAATTCTATCTGGAGGTTTATTAATTGGTTTAAGGTTGGATTTCATCATAGACTGACATCACTTGGAGGGACACTGGAAACCTGAAAGCACCGGACAGCTGTTTCGTCCTAGTATGACACTCCTCAGCAGTGCGCACTCATGAACCCACCAGGAGTCGAAACCAGGACCGTCAGATTCCGTGGTCAGCACGTTATCAATAAGCCACTGGGTCGGAATCCAGTGGTCCACATTTCCTACTTCTGTCAGTTCACAATATAGCGCGAACCTACATCCAATATCGTCGTCGAGTAACTGTCCTCATATTCGACTTGGTTAACTCCACTGGTAATGACTGCTCATTGGAACTTCAGGAATCACCTCTCAGCTAGTCACCATTAAGCGCTAGATTAATCAGAAGCCAAGTCAATTAATAAACCTCCACAAACCTCCAGATAGATTCATAATGTTTAATTTTTTCTACCCACACATATTCTTGTCATTTAACAAAGTCACAATTCAGTCAGGATTTTCTTTTTCCACATTACTATCTACTGAAGTTGTACAATCGCATGTATAAGCTCTGGAAACAAATAATTGTCTATAGTCAGTCAACAGTGTGAGGTTGCATCATCATTCCAGTGTTCAAGAATAGAATGAAAAACTAAATCTAAATGCAGAAAGAAACTACGTAATATTGGACAAGACGATAAAAAATAATCAGAAACACAAGGATTTTGACAAGGCGAATATTATTACTAGATGTGAAGTAAAATGATTAAGTATCAAAATGATGAATGAAAAGAAGGTAACGAAAGAGATAAGGATTTTAGGGAAATGATGAGGTTAGAAAGGTAGAAGAAGGGAATAAAGACCATAGAAGAAGACGAAGGTGAACGAACTTCTTCTGCGCACAGTATTTAAGCTTGAATTGGACGATGAAATGCTACTAATTTTGAAATATTTGGTTTAACTTTGTAAACTATTTTAAAAAAGGATATCGATAGAGTTAAGTGACTTGAATTGACTAGATGCTAAAGCGTTGAACTGTTGATAGATCTATATTGATCTCTTAATAGGGATACATGTTAGCGATCAGAAACACGAAAGAAGAGTGCATCCTTTGTTCTGAGAGTATAGCTAACTCCAGAGCGTTAAAATTGTAGATGCATACTGATATGTCTTAAAGCTACAGTTTATCTTATCTACGAATCAATTGTTGATTAGAGGAGATAACTCAAAGTTTCAAAGAAGAGAATGACTTTTTGACTGACATAGTCAGACGCTTCCTGATATCATTAAAGAAGAAAAATCCCTCTGATGAATTGTTTTTTTATCTTTTACGCCATCTACTTCTTTATTCCGTACTGTTTTGAAATGTGGTAGGCCAGAAGTGATGCAATTTTATGCAAGATTTCCTTCTGCTGCATCTTCCTATCAGACAAACTGGTGAAGGATTTCCATGCTGCTGCTTAGTGGATAACTCTTTGGTGTTTGAAGCAATCGGTCCCGAGTTCGAGTCTTAGTGGGAACAAGAATTCTCTCTGGAGGCAAGTACATCCAGCCGGCGAGTCCCGAATAGGACGAAACGTGTATCCAGGATTCCACTGCTATCTACCACCTATCATTAGTAAATGTTACTTTTCTTAACTCCTGACCTACTCTTAAGCTCAGTTAAATACGAAATATTTCCAGGCTACTTTCAGAATATAATTATGAACCGGAATCGATATACATTATCACTGGAACGTGTATCAACTCTTACTGATGCAAGATGAACAAACGTTTCCACTGTAACCAAACAGAGTTAAATATCTTGGATTCAATAAGACTATGAAAGATAAAACAATGTAATTTCTTTTAGTAGAGCATCAGTTTTCCTTACGCATGTCTCAAAAGATGACCAAGTAAACTTCGTTTGGCACATGACTTACTCACAAATCAGTTAACCATATTGCTTGAGGCTAGTTGCATTCAATATGAGGAAAATCATGATAGTGATGACCATGCTGGTCAAGCTATGGCTAAATTAACATACTGGTTCTATATACCGATACAATTGTAACAAGTTTTATAGAAAATCTCTCCTTTTGTAATATAAAGATTATTGAAATTACTTACCAACTTTTTCAGGAAGACCATCTGCACTAAATAAAAATAAATCGTTAACAATACGTTTTTCGTTTGAATTTAAACGGTATGTTCCACGTAAAGTTTTTTTAATTCTCTTCTTAAATTGAATTGTAGGCTTGACATCAGTTAACTTTGAATTATCAATATCACGACGACTGTTGTCACCATCAGTTAGAAAATTACTCTCATCATGATGATAACTATGACTTTCAGAGTTGTTGATGTTGTCATCAGATGATTTTAGTCGACTTTTTGATCGTTTAACCTTTTTATGTCGAAGATAACCAATTCGTTGATTCGATGAAGAAGTCAATGAATGTTTCCGAGGTCTTTTATTAGCTTTATTTTTTAATGTCTTATTGTTGCAAGGATCATTAGTGATTACTGACCAATCTAAATCACGTATATCACCACGTTGACGTGAATAATTTCGCATAGTAATTGTTAGATCTGGCTCAGATGAAGCTAAGCGTAGAGTTGATTTAACAGTACGGTTAGTTTGCTTTTTAGCATTATCAAGGATTGGAGATGTTGATAATTCGTCCATTGTATTTTGTACATTACCTGAATTACAGTTAATTTATAAACAAAGGAATGCTGAAGTTAAAGTGGAATATGTCACGTAAAAAGATGAATAAATAATAATATAAATTGGAAAAAACGTTTAAAAATTTTTCAAGGAGGCTATAATTCACATCAGTTATATAACAGTTGACAAAACCTAGAAAGATGAAATCGAATTCTAGTCTGTAACAATCACTATAAGCAAGACTTACAAACGGAATATTTCGCAACAAAAAAGAAGAACGTAGGAACTGCGATAGGGTGCTGCAACCAATGTTTATTTAATATAGTATCATTTACTTTCGTTATCATACCGAGCTCAAAAAGGTGATCTAAGAGAATGTCTAGCATTTATCTAGTGTTTCTGGGGTAGTAAGATTTAGTGAACGTAAAGCAATGATCGGTATCGATGGTTCTCAACTTATAGACCTTTACAGTTTTAATCTGAACCTAAGTCAACATAATGTTAATATTTGGGTGGAAATGTATACATCATTTGCGTTCTACGTAAGCTTAATAAGAAAATTTATTGATCGAAAATAATGAAATGAGTAGAAAATCCGATGATTATACATAACATGCAGTACACATTGAATTAATATACGAATCGGAACAGGAAACACGAATACTTTTCCATGATATTGAATGATCTTAGCACTATATTACGAGCTAAGAGAAGTTGAAAAATAAAAACCATTTAATTCCAACCCAGTGGCAGAAAAGGTAACGTGCTCTCTGCAATCCCTAACGGTCCTGGGTGAGCAGTACTGAGGTGTATCGTACTAAAATGAAATAGCCGTTCAGTGTTTACAGTTTTTCAATGACTCACTAACTGATACCATTCCATAATGAATACTAACTTGAAATCAATCAACCAATCCTCAAAAACTAACAATTTAATTATTGGTGGGAATTGTTTAGCCAACCTGATGTTTACAACTCGTGATGACATAATTCTATTATTCTCTACTACAGTTATATAAGACTTTAACTATACAAGCACCAATAGTATAATCAATCAGTTTATCGTCCAGGAGAGGTGGTTAACTAAATATGGAAATAATATCACTTTTATAACTCTGATATCTGAAAAAAAATAACTCCAATACCCCTCTAAGGGTCTCCTAGGAAAGACTGAACTTCACCACAATCTATTTTAATTTATGAGGTAGTTATTTCATATGTGAAGTGTTTAGAAGAACCTAATGAACCATTTAAAATAGAAGTGAAGACTCTGACTGATCACTTGAGGGTAACCAACATCAGGTTGTTTATTCCTACGTGCTGATCGAACTCCGTCGGTCATTTTCCAATGTGACCACAAAACTAAGAGACTCACAACCATGATAGACTCACATAGATGTTAAATAGGAGGAGGAAATTAGCAGGAAGCCCTGGAATTAGGTTTTATGCTTCCCGTAGCTCACTTCTTTCCAAAGTTTGTGCTGATGATGTTCTCTAGAATGACAATGAAGGCTTCACGATTAAACCATATAGCTCAGAAAACACAACACCATCAAAATCCTCTTCCTGAACTACAGATATTCTCCAGCATCTCAGAAGCCTTCCGTTTGAGAATAATGGCTAACTAAATCAGGCTCTTATCTTTCATACAACAAGCAATGATTTGGAAACCAGTTCAACATGTGAGGATCCGACCAGCTAGACCATTTATAGACTATGTTATTAGTTATTGTATACCAAAAGTGGTTCAAAGCCTACTTTATGATGCTGTATACAGCCAGTGAGCGGCATCAATCTCCAGTTGACGTGCGCATTTTCCGTTGCACCTCAGCTGCACATAACTGAAACTTAAGTATCCAGTGGTTTGAACTGTTTACCTAACACAAGCAAAAATGTGCATAATTAGCTCAGGAATAAGACAGTTTTTCAAAATTGGCAGTTTACACTAGCATCCATGTTGCTGTTGTTTATCATAGGCATGTTCAGAATGTGGTGATTATGAGTGCTTATAGGGTTGTGCACATTGTCAACATTTTCGTTTAACAGAATAATGTCATCCAAGTAACCTGAGTTATTCAGATAATCAGCAACGTCAAAAGTATAAAAAGTTACCTTTTTTTTAAGTACATGACTACAACAGTTAGTTATATCGTTAAATTGAGAATTCTTTTGGCATGTGTGAACAGTACACTTCGGCATTAGACATTGATTACTTTATATCCCACCAAAGGTATCGAACAATATGATCAGTGATGGATAGTGGTTAACGGTTGAATCCAAAAAGTGGGTGTCATCCTGTTAAGGGCTCGTCTACTGGATATACCTGCCCCCTAGTGAGTAATATAGTTCCTCCTGACACCCGAACTCAGAAGCCATCACTTCGAACTAGTCACAATGGAAACAATATCATTCACTGAGAGACAGGCACGTCTACCTGATCAGTTTCAAAAGGAATGAAATGAATGACCTGTACTCCATTACTAGCCACTATTCAACATTAGTTTCAAACCTTAATTACCAGTAATATCGAAGCCCCTACATACGAGTCCGTGTACCAAAAGTGACCGATCGATTCAGTCCAATCGACGACGAAATCTAAAAGATCTGGCACTATGAGGTAAGACAATCCAATCAGATTAAAAAGGGATGCAAAAACACAAAATTTAGATTCTAACACACAATTTACTGAGAATTTTATGAAGTGTTTCATGGTATTTTTAAATGATTTAAGAAGTAAAATTCCGAATTACTCTAGAGCTTCGATAAAATATCTGAATGACGCTCAAGAGAGTAGTAATCATCTTAGTGACTAGCAGTGGAATTCAGGACGCGCGTTTCGTCCTATTTGCGACTCGTCAGCTGGGTGTGCCTGCACCCCAGTGAGTAATATTGTTTCCATTGAAACTCGAACACAGTACCCATCACTTAAAGCCTCAAGGTTTTATCCACTACGTCAACCAGACTTCAACAAATTAGAATTCAGTTGGATCAGTGCGATATTCAATTCTTAAGTAAACTTTAGTGATATGAAGTATTTTCAGAAGCTATACTAAGAAGAAAGACCATCAATAAGCTTTTAAAAATCTCCACCAGAAGTAATCTCAGTTGAAAGTGGATTTCGATTCAAACACTCATTTTATTGGTAATTAATGCTGACAACTATGATTTAAAAGTTAATGGTATAGAAAGCACTTACATGCAAATGGATATAGCTTAAAGAAAATGCAAGGAGAGGTGGCTAATTAAGTTCAGTGATAAAGCGATTATGAAAGTATTGTAAAGCTGATTGCTTTCAATAAGTAAGTAATGATGATACTTCTGATTGTGGAGCTACGAGAGATTTTTCAATATCAAGAAGCAAAACAACAACTTTCATACATAGCCTATGGAAGGTAAGTATGAGTTTCCCCTATGTGTCAAGTAGCTCATAAGTAATATCGGTTTAAACCAAGCCCTGGTTTCACGGTAATTTTGTGCGGCTGTTGTTCATTACCTTTGGCATCCAAGCTTTGACCAATGCATACAGGGGTTCAATACCACTTCCGCTGCTAACGTTTAGTTAGACAACCAATGTGGCGGGTGCTGCTGATAAGAACGGAAATAAGTAGCAGAAGTCATAGGCAATTACGAGCGATGGGTGAATATTCTGCCCAGAGAAACGCAAGAGACAATGTGAGCATATAAAGTGAAAACCAAGACAGGAAGAGAAGAGGAAATGAAACACCTCATGTAATTGATTATTTTAATGGAAAGTGTACAATATTTCATCAGCACTGTACAAAATGTTTCGATAAACATTCTCTCCTGTGTCTCATACTTTGTCGTTTTCTTACAACTGATGTCTCTGCTTCTTGATGTGATGAAGATTTTGTGGCTTGTAGTGTTTGAGGCTTTCCTCAGGGATTTCGAGTCGATTGCAGAGCTGGTGAGTATCAGGGATCCAGGAGCGAAGGTCGTGGTCCTTGGTAAGTTGCTCAGGGATAGAGCGAAAGCGACACATGATGACTTGAAACGCGTGGATGGGAAGGAGATTTGCGAGAGAATGGTTGAACAACTGGAGGCAGAATATGACAGTCCAGAGGACAGAGAGCTGGCGATGCAGCAGTTCCGGAGCACGAAACTTGGAACAGACGAAGATCCACTGTCTGTGAAGGTGACAAAACTACTTCGACGAACAGTTCCGACTTTAGGTGAGGACTTCCAAGTACAGTTATTGGCTGCACAGTCCCGATAACCAGTGCTCAGCAGCTACAACTAGTGAATGCAGCCCAACCCATGGATATTAGTGAGCTTGAGAAAGTGACCAGGCAGCTGAAGGGAGTATTATTTATTGTGGCATCAGTCGGGATTAGAAATAGATGTAGAATATTGAACTGGAGCAAAATATAGGCTACAATGTATGTTAAATATAGAGAAACAGATTGAAAGAGAAAGAAAACGAATGAGTACAGCCATGTCGCGCTATGTCAGATGTTAGAAGTTGATTTAGAGGAAGCCCCGTTTGACTTCAAACTCATATTGGTTGGTAATGGTCAGTTTGGTGTATCTGCGTCTATGAAGAAAACGGTGTTCGCTCAATGATTTTAACCTGCAACATCTACCGTTGAAGTCAAATAACTCATCATTAGGCTATGCAAGCCACAAATGATTCCCTGTAGGGTATGATGGAGTACATCAACAAGTCACTGATGAGTAATCAATTTAGCTTTTTAGTTTTTAGGGCTGAGACATTACAGAAGTCTACCTGTTAAGTTTGAAATTTTAAAACATATGAGTTATATCAATGGTTCGTTAACTCATAGACTGATCATGCTACTATCCACTCCAGTTAGTGTTTCACAAAAAAATGAAACTAATCCTATGAAATGGAGTTCTCAAGAATGGTAGTTTTTCAAAAAGACAATGAAGCAGGCATTCCAAAAACACTATTATTGGCAGGAAATGAAAAAATGGACTAACACGGTGGATGGAATATCTCCATGACAATAAATATCATACACTGTTCTACTCAACATAGTGGTCAGTAGTATGGCTTAATGTTTGTTCAGTGATAATAATAATAATAATAATAATAATAATAATAATAATAATAATAATAATAATAATAATAATAAGGACACCGACAACACCCTGACGTCCCATTAAGATTTTCGCAAGTAACCTTCAGGGCTATCAGTAACACTATTGTACCAGATAAACTAAAGGACCAAATTATCTTTATTTTCTGACAAGCATAGTTACCAGTGACAAAAAAATACAATAAAATGAACTGTTTAGTGCAGCCAGCTGACAATATCTAAAACAGTATCGGTTAAAACTATAAAAAGTATACGAGTGGTTGACTGATGATTGAATAGCCTGCTAAAAAGTTGAGTTTTTATTTCAGTAGGAAGAGCAATTCAATAGAATTTCACAAGTCATTCATCAGAAACTGGTTGCAACTATGATTCTCTTGATAACTTATTACTTGTCGTAGTAAGAAATGTAGTTATTTACAATGGTTTAAACATACTACTAGAGACAAGAAAATAAGTAGTAAAGAGTAACCAATTGAACTGTTTACAATTCTAACAAACAAAAAGCAGAAATAAACTTACAATTGCCTAAATTATTTACTACACTTTGAGATATCACATTTGATGTGCTAGGTATTTGATCATTTAATCGAGGTTGACGTGCAGAAGGTCTACGAAAAACTTTTGGATTAGGCAAATCAGCCACTGCATCAGCAAGTAGATTTAATGCTGTCAAAAATACAGACAATAAAATCATAAATTTACCACTGCATTCAATGTGTTCAATCAACTGAGCTAGTTAAATATGTTGAATTATTTAACTGTTTATAAAACTAGATAAATGAAAATATAATCAGTCAACTACAATAGAATATTATGGGAATCCTTAGTTGTTTAAAATAGAATGTTAGTAGATTTATCATCTATTTAAATAGAATTAAGTGTATATTTGCTATTGAAATACTGATCAGAAATGAATCCGGCCGCGGTCCAAATTTTCATTTCACCTTCAATCCGCACCTAGTATAAATACTAGTCTTCCAAACCACAGCTATCTCAGATAGTCGGTATGATAATCAATATGATGCTCCCCCTTTCTAATTTTGTCACATTTGGATTGAGATGAGAAGTCCTGATTAGGCAACCAGTGTGAGTATGACCAAGCGACAGTAACGTGCCACGAATTCACATGGTAGTGGGGTGAAAACCCTTGGTGCTTGAAGTGAAATAAAACTCTGGTCAGCAGTCGGACGTCGAAGCTCAGTTGGTAGAGTAACGGGCTAGAAACCCGGTGTTGGCTGGTTCGAATTCGGCCGCGGTCCAAATTTTCATTTCACCTTCAATGATCACGCAATAGAAATGAACTTCACAATCATATGCGGGATAAATGAAGAACTAGCTCTAATTACCACTAGTACAAATTGACTACCAATCAATAAAGAAATTGCGAAACTGAAATAGTTTATCACTCATCTTTATTCATGTAAACAGTCGTCATTTTTATTGTCCCAGTGCTCTAGGATATAAATGTTGTAGCATGTCCGTTAACTGAAACATGTAACCTAAAGTATGTTCAAGCTATACGCACACACACACACACACACAACAATCACAAAGACAGACAAGAAATGAAGATAGACAGAGGGTACAGAGTAAAAAAAGTCCGGGTAATAAAATTGTGATATATCAGATTAAGTGAATGATGTGTGCTATCAGTTTAGCTAAGTTCTTTTGACGAAATGCACTGAGTGTGTAGTTGATAAAGAACGAAAGTAAATATATACAAAATTTGCTAGCGTTAACAAACAGAAAAGAACATGCTGAGTTGAAATGATTATTTAAAAAGTAGTATCCATACATAAAGACTATACTAGGCAGAAATGATATAAATTCTGTGTAAAAACCCATAGAAAATATTTTATCCTGTCTTAGCATAGGAAGCTGAAAATGAAAAATACCGATTTTGATGATTAAAAGGTTACTAATCAGTTGAACCATGTTTTAGAGTCATGTGCCATACAGTAGGAAGTTTACCAGATATTTTTAACTAGGAAATAAATGCTGTAGTAAGTTGTGTTGAGCTTAGAACATTATTTGACAAGCAGTGAAATATTGTTTACGTCACTAGTGGAAAAATGACATCTTGGTTAAGATTTGCTCCACTAGTTGCCTTTAAGTAATATATATACCTTCAGGAATCATTCAATGATCACCAGTTCAATAGTTGTAAGTAGATAACTGTAGGGCCTTATTTATCTATCATCCTTATGCTACTAGTTTCTCCATTAGGCATCGACTTGCTTTCATTTGGAAAATACACTTTAATATAGCATTCAAACAACGGCTACATAAAAAAATCACACAATATATAGCGTTGATGTAACCAAACAATCACGTATAGATTTCTGCACTAAACAATTAGTCATATCTACTGTTTGGCAGTTGATGGTACTACTTGACAGTATAAAGAGCGGTGGGTGCAGGGAATTTTAACCCATACTAACTGGAAATTGACTGCTTAAGCCAATGAGCCAAAACTTGACAAAGTACATTAGGACAATGCATTCATTTCCCTTACACGAACTGGGGTACTAACTTATCCATACCAAAAGCATAGTAAGATGATAAATACTGAACACTTAAAAGAGCGAATGAACTCTGAACATAGCTACCAACTGCATAATGCATAGATTTCTAAATGTACACATTGTGATCTAGGTGACATTCAACATCACTTAACTCTTTTGAAACTGGTGTTTTCAGGATGATACATTTACGATAAAATTCTATAAATCCTGTTTTTCCTACATAAACTGATTAATAATTTATGGCCATTGGAAACGATCTAGAAGGGTAAGAGATAGTTATTACTGATTTCAAAAATAACAGAAATGAATACATTTTTGCTATTTAACCTGTTATATGTAAAAACATTAATATCAACTATGAGGTCTCCTTTTCTTCTTTTTCATCAGAATAACAGTTCATTGCTTACATGAATATATAGTTCAAAAGGTGTACGCAGTGATTGTGAACAGTGATAGATAGTGAGGGCCAAAAAAAATGGAAAAAGCAGTGGGAACTGATAACACCAGACACCCGTTTAGATTTATCAAGGAAACTGAGACAAAAATGTCAACGATTAGTGAGACGATAGAGGAGAAAGATGGGTCTGCAATTCACTCGCAAGGGAGACGGCTACAACGATGGGAGGAACACGTCGATGAACAATTCAACTGACTTCCAGCTACTATTTAGTTACCTGCTATCAAGTTTGAGCTTGAATGAAACATCGATATAGGAATCCCAACACCTAAAGAAGTCGAGAAAACTGTAGGTAACCGGAAACGAGGAAGAGCACCAGTGCCAGATAGACTAGTTCCAAGAGTATTTAAGGATGGTGGTCAAGGGTTTTTGGTCAAGTTAACTGAAGTGTTAACGAGTGTATGGGAGTCAGATACGACCCCCTCTGACTGGTCTCAATCACTGGTTGTCCCAGTATTAAAGAAAGGTGAGAAGTCTTTTTGTCATAATCATAAGGCGATCAGGCTCATGAACACGATGTTTAACATTCTGGGTTCTATAGTCATTAGGCGTGAAAGAGAAGCTGGGGAAGAGCGAAACTGAGAAAAACAGGTAGATTTCAGACCTGATCGTGGGTCTATCAACGAGTTATCCACCCTTCGCCAGGTTCTGGAACACGAGCACGTCTGCAAAAACCAAAAACTGTATTTATCAAACTGAAGGTGGCATTTGATTTCGTCCCCTGAGAGATGTTATGGCATGGTCTTTCATTGAAAAGGGTGCCAGTGAAGCACATCACTCTGTCGAAGGCTCTGCAGCCAAACACCAATGTGTTTCTTAGAGCCTATAGGGAGTTATGCACGTTGAGTTATATCCATCAATGATTTTCAGTCTCTGCATTCTCATTCAATTTTACCACAGAAGTAATTATGGAGGGGTCTTTTTGGTCATTTGACTTCCCAGGGATTGATCTTGCCACAAGCCAATCCTTGGTCAATATAGATCAGGCAGACGATAGAATCTTGTAAAGTAAAGACGCTGATAAGGTGCAGTTTACTGGACACCTTAACGAGGTAATCTGAAAATGTTTGGGATATGTTTCTCTACACCCGAACGTAAATTTTCGCTCCAGAATTAGTCTTCATAGTTGCTCTGATTAACAGTAGGGAGTGAAATGGTTGAGTGCGTTGAACACTTCCCTTACGTTGGAAGTTGGATCAGCAGTAATGGCTTAGTGACCGACGAATTCTCCGTATGAATGCAAAAGGCTCAACTGGCTTTCGCCAACATACATCACTTATGACACCGTCGTGATATTCAGTTGCCAATTAAGGATCAGATGTGCTGAGCTTTAGTTCGCTCCATGGTTGAGAAACATGGCCATTAAAAGTAGAAGATATGGAGAGGTTTCAGATGTTTGGCTAGCGTTAACTTCGTAGCATACATCGTATGTCATATTGTCACAGGGTCAGAAGTGTACAAGTCAGGTGTGGAGTTTTAGCGGGAAGAATAAAGTCAGTTGATGAGGTTATGAACCTCCATCGACTCAGTTGGCTGAAACATGTGTTGCATATGCTTATTCCACGTATTTCCCACTGCACATTGTTACCTGAAGTACGTTCAGACTGAAAAAAAGTTTGAAGGTGGGAAAACTTAAAAATGACGTTAGTCCATGAAGTAATTCATTATTGGTCTGAGCCGCACAGGGAGACATAAACCTCCCAGTTGAGGTTCGTAGAAGCCTTTTTTCAGTTGTTGACATGTCTTGCTATTGTGTACCGAGAAATAAACCGACCCTGAAGAGAATACAGAACAAAACGTTATGGGGTAGAAATATTGAATCTTGCCGTTCTTGAGCAACTACTAAATGACCTTGAATGCACCAACAAGTAAGTGGTTATAGAAATGAAATTTACTATAGGTAGGGTTTTCGATGATGTCTAGGAAATTGCCTATGTTTCCGACTATTTTTTCTGCTTAAGGTTTGTGCGTCAAAGATATTCATCCGTATAACTACAAAACAATAAACCACATGAGTTGTGGACGTACAACGCCTTCAAGTGGTCCCCTATCGCCTGTGGAATTATTTAAAAATAACATAAAGACGTTAGATCTATGAAGTTTGATTTTAGGTGATTTATAGATTTCTAAGTAGAAAACATGAAAATTAAGTGATTAGGCAGTAATCAAACAGCGAGCAGGACTACTTTTTAGTGTTGGTGTGGTTTGTTTCTTGCTTTGTGACCTAATAGGCACTGTTAAGTTACTTGGATTTGAATGATGTGGTTAATAGAGTTAAAATAAGAACTTTAATTAGGTTTTATGAGTCATCTAGTACTAGAATATACTACAGTGGACACTTCCTGTCCGTAATTCCATCCTTTATGAGATTGAGCCACATGAGAAAAAATGTAAAGCTAGAAAATAGCGTGAGAAGTAATTCTCTTCAGTTCAGTTGAAATTACTATCAAAATTGGGCGCAAGCCTGTCTATTGTTATCGTTTCAATAGTTCAAATCTTCATAAAATGACCATCCAGTCACTTTCAATTTGATTGATCGCTTCAAAGTCTTTTGGTAGTTGTTCAAGGACGGCAGGATCCTATAGTTCTACCGGATATTGAAGTAACAAATTGAACTGTTCTGGTGTACAAATCGGTCTACTACTTTCAGTTGACGCTAAAATGATGTTCAAAGAAGTTTTATATACAGCGTGATGTATTAAATATTTATACCCACTCTGCTGATGACATCAACAGTAATGAGAATGCTGGTTAGAAAGAAACGGTCATTACAAATGGTAATAAACTATCATTAGTGGCTAGTATTAGGCGGTTTTTATTATCCAAATATACAGACCTTCATAATGTTCAGACTGAATGAAAAATTGATAAATAAACACATTCATGCAATATATGATGAATGACCTGACTTATGTCAACTGGTTACCAATATCATAACGTTGAAACCTATGACTAAAAAGTACAGAAAGGTTTACACCGTTGTAGCACTTAGTTAGACAGAATACTACTATACTGTAAAAAAATGAGTGATTCTAAACGTCACGCTAACAACGATTGCAATAACCAATTAGTTTTCGCTATTTCATCTGAACCTGTAGTTTTTCACGAAATAAAGAAACGCGATCAGTTAGTTCAGTAGTTAAGATAGCCGTTTGGAGTAATTTGTAGAGTTATTGGTATGTTTTAAAAAAGCAACGATTATTGAAGAGAAACATTCATATATGGAATGTTCAACTGGGATAGTCATCAAAACATTCAACAAGTAAGCCATAAAGTCACACGTTTAAATAAACTCTGCCTATTCGTTTTGATGACTAGCAGTAAGATTCAGGACGCACAATTCGTCCCTCAAGGGACTCATCAGCTGGATGTACCTGCATCCCAGTGAGTGATCTTGTTCCCACTGAGACTCGAACTCAGGACCCATTGCTTCAAACGTCAAAGAGTTAACCACCAGACCACTGGGGCACGATAGCCGCTACTTGTGTAACGTGTATCAGTCGTTGTTTATCAATACTTTTAATTTCCTGTTGTTATACAGAGTTGATGTTTGGCGTTTGAAGCGATGGGTATTGGGCTCGAGTCTCAGTGGGGATAACACTCACTGGGGGTTCAGTTACATCCAGCTGACAAGTCCGAAATGAGACGAAACACGGATTCTGGATTCCATTGCAAGTCACCAAGATGAATACAACATCACGAATATTCGGCAGTATTGGGGCATCCGCATAGGAGCCCATCTGCTAATATAGGTTGGACAATTCGACTCTGTATAGTAACAGGAAATTATAAGTATCAGTAAACAATAAACTCTGTCTACTTAACTACCAGTGAAAAAGTATTATTATACGTCTCTGCACTATTGGTGAATATTATCCAATGCAGTTGGTGAGTTACATTGACATTATTAACATTAATTCATTGATAAGCGTTAAATCGGTGGGTTAAGTGATTTCAATCCTAAAATGAGTTTAATTTGCAGGAAAATTTCAAGTTTCAAGATCATTTAACAACTCATTCAGTTCGTTGTTATCAACATAGGACCTTAAATTACTGCCAACTATGCAATCCTGGATATAAAGGCAGTGTATTAAGAGATTTTAATGGAAATAGTCCTCTGCTAAAATCTTCATCATTTCAGTATCCCAATGTTATGTTCCATTTCAACAATATTTGGTGCTGTAAAATACATAATTTAAACAATTATTCTTTTGAAGTGGTTTGAGAATATAATTGTAATCCAGTAGATACGCGGCACTTATAACCAACTTTGATATGGATAGGATGCTTACGAACTGGTTGGTAGGCATCTATTTCCGTTTCACAACTGAAAAATATAGCAGTAAGAAACAGACAATACATGATATTTTGACTGTTATATTTGGAATATTATGAGTACATTGTGATCAAATCAAGTCGAACTGAAATTCACTCAATAATCCTGTGCTTATTCGTGGAATAAGCAATGAGCTACACTTATTGTCTGAGGGTTACTGATACTTCCTATTATCCATAACCTGTGTAGTTGGAGCTGGGCTGGTCCCCATTGCTCATCTGCTGGAAATCGGGTGCTTATATCAATGAGTTACAGCTCTATGTCCTCATTAAATGAAACACAAAGAAAGTTTTTATTGATGGGTGCTAACTAATTATCTAAAAGGCTATGATAAATGCAGCAAAAGTTAGTTGTAAAATGTTATAAATTAGAGTGAAACACGATGTATTGATGACTATTCATGACTACGAAATAGTTATCAAC